TCCTGCTGCCTCCCTCAAAGGCTTTCACCTCTTGAGTGTGGTTCAGATCTACTGACTTGTTTGTTGATCTTTATTTTTATCTCCAGCATTCTTGGCTGCTCCTTTGTTCAGCTTATCACAAATTGTGTTGGTGAATATAGTGACTAGATGTTTAAAGGCATGTATAGCTTTGGGCAAAGTGGGCAGAGTGTAATCTAGATTGACTGGAGGGTTTGATTTGGGCTGTTTGTACATCTCATAGTTGACCTGCTGTCACCCCCTCTGCAGACATGAGCAAGGTGTCAGCTTGTGTGATGGGATCATAAGGGACCTGTGGGTTCTAGTCAGCTGCTCAGTTATCAGCTCCTAGTCATACAGGTGAAGACAAAGTGTTTATAGTACTTAATGTCCATTGTAAAATTGCACTTTTAAATTAGATTTTAAAGTACCACTGAGCTCATGAAGATGTTTTTTACACAGAAACTGACAGATCATTCCATCCTTCTGTTGCGTTTTTCAGTGCTACACTTTTTACTTCTACACAAGTGGGATAGACTTGATGTGAGGCAGCTCAGCACGTTGGGAAGATGGGGAGTGCCTGCTGAAAGGGGCACCCCAGCCTCTGGAATGTCTGCTTCTCCCTGTTGTGCACATCTGACATCAGCACCCAAGCTCTGTTGAAAGGGCCAGGGCTTTGGGGTTTATTTTCAAGTTACCATAAACAAACAAAAAATCTTTGTGTTGCTCCATCTGAGGCTTATGTTGATAGTTATTTTTTTAAAAGCTCAGCTTAAGTTAAACTTTTCTGACAGGTTTTTGTTTCTATGTTCTGAGGCTTCAGTGTAGGATGTACCTGTTAAGGACCTTGTAACATGTTTGCTGGTTTGGGTCTTAATTCTCAGTCCTTCTCAGGACCCTGCAATTTGAGCATTGCTACCTCACTGGTGATACTGCTAGTCTGGCAGTTAACCCTTGCAACACAAGTTGCAGGTAGAGGTTTTGAAGTGCTTGTCATTTAGCATGGGGAGCTGGAGAGCAGATGACCATCCCAGGATGATCTGTGAGCCATGTGGGGAGCTCTGCGAGTCGGGCTGTCCTGGCAGAGTTAATGCGATTTGTACTGGGCTGTGACTAATGGAATGAATTAGGACAACAGCAGATGGTTCTCCCTGGGGGAGCTGCTCAGCAAGAGTGAACTGGGTCACTCAACAATCTGTGGTGCCTTCCACCTCCAAAACAGCTTTGCACTGGAGGGCACGGGGGAATCCATGGCTTGCACTCGCAGAGGTGTGTTGAATTCATTCCAGTGGGGTGCAGCTGCTGAGAGGGAGCTGTGTGTTTGCATGGCTAGAGCTGAAGCTTTCTATTTAAATGTCACTATAGAGAATTAAAAATATCTCCTTTGGGTTCCCTGCTAAAGTTCATCAGTTGTTGTATTTTAAAAATAAAATTACATCATAGCTCCATAATAATTTAAAAGCCTTTTATTTTGGTGAGCTGCAGGCAGTATGGAATGTGAAAGGGGAAAATATGACCTGAGTAGGTTGCAGGAGCTTCAGGAGCTTTTATTGATATCCAAGAGTATCCTCTTTCAGATCCTTAGTTTTTCTGAAAGCTGATGATGGTTCCTTTTGAATTGATCTAGTGAGGCTTCAGTAGAGCTCAGGGGGGACTCAGGTGGTTCAGCTGCTGTGGTAAGTATGGTAGAAACTTCTTTTCAGGCTGGTGCCTCACCATGGGTTACAGAGTGGGGAGGTGAAGGTGCTCTGTCTGTTGTAATGAAGATGAATTGAGGGCCACAAGGGATGCAAGCTCTTCAGGCTCATGAGAAGGGAAATATTCTCTGTGCCTGTGGTACTGAGTAGTTCCAATTAACTCCTCATAGAGTACATGCACCCCTAATGGCTTTCCAAAGGTGCTGAGTGCATGGGCTGCACACACGTGCAAGTGCCTGGGTTGCAGGCAGCTACTCCTGCAGTTTACGTCTTGCTGTTCCACGTATTTCACTAAAAGTAGTTCTGCTGGCACAAGTGTAGGGATGTTTCAGGCTGCAGCTCATCTGTGGCTGGGACCTCTGAGAGAACAGTGCTCTGATGTTCTGGCTCCACTACAGCCATCAGCAGCTTCAACGCATGGTTGAATTTAACATTTCATGGATGATTTTGCATCGTTCTCAATGTGGGTAGAAAACTCCCCCCAAGTCTATGTCTACTGGAGAAGTTATCTTCATTTGTGGCAAGAAGATTTCTCTCATGCTGTCCATGGTGTGCTTGAGCTCTAGAATAATGCAAATATGGCTGAAAAAGGAGCAGGCTGGGAGTGCTTTGTTCCTTTCACATGTTCCCAGTTGTCTGGGAGCTGGATCTGCAGCACGGGAGGGTTGAACTCATCAGGCCTCAGTGATGGACACGACAGCTGCAGCAACCTCTGTGGAAGAGCTCTACCCCACCAGCTGCAGGAGGCAGGAACAGAGGTAGCCCTGGTGGCTGTGGAGTCCTGACTTGCTGTGGAAAATGTAAATTATGGTTTAGATAATAGCAAAGTTATCATCTTCAGACCCAGGATTTTTCCGTAGCACCAGTAGCTTTCCTCTCAATTAAATATTAATATTGAAGGCTGACTTCTGACAGGTTGCGTGTGTTGCCTTAGTGAAAAAAAGGAAACTGGGATGTCTTGAGGGCATCTTTAAACTGTTTGCTGAGCTGAAGCTCACGCTAGTGGTTCTGTGCATTTATATGTGGAGTTCTGCTTATTGTTCTTGTGGTGACGATGGAGGTTCTGGATCTGCTTACACTGCAAGTGTCTGATTGCTGGTCAGGCAGTCAATTCTTACTGTGGAAGTATTTTTTATGGTTTTACTTGTTGACCTAAAGTCAGTTCAACTTCTTTGTAAAGTCACCGTGCCCCATCAGAAGTCAGTTATAAGTTCTTGATGTATTATGAAACAGGGCTGCTTGTTCTTGGAGATAATAAAACCAGAACAAACTTTCCATAGAGGCAGAAGGTGTTTGCTGCTTCAGGTTTGAAGAGGGGCATGAAGAGGTGATGTTGCCTGTTCTACAAGTGGTTTCTCCCTCTTGAAAGGTGCCTTGTGGTGTCTCACAACCATCTGCTTCTTGCTGATTTAAGAAGTAGCATTAATTTGATTGCCTGCAGCCTGCAAGGTGCAACACCAAACCTGCTGAAGAGGCCTAAGGAGCAGCACTGGTGCCATGGAAAGGGGATCACAGCATCTTTCTCATCCCAGTGAAGTCTTGCCCTTTTGTAACAGGGCTGTGTATCTGCAGCTCATCAGTTCCTGCGTGCATTGTGTTATGTATTTCATTAACCTGGTGAGATGATGCAGGGAAAGCAGTACAGCTGGGTTTGGATCCAGCTGAAAAGCAGGAGTAGTTTTTTTTCATTATCACGTAGATGTTTTGTCTTTTTTCTGATCCTTTCACGTTTCCTTTAGAGGTTAATTTTTTACAAGACTTGAGGTGCTTTCAGTAGCCTGTAGTTTAGAAGCAAAAGCCTACTTCAACCCAGGTAAACTTGTTTCACCTCCAAACCAATAATTGATAGCTTTCATGTTCTTCTTCCTTGTGAAGATGGTGTTTCAGCCCGGGCCCCTGGGTGTACACAAGAGCAGAAGGGCTTTTGGCAGCGGGAGCTGCAGAGGCATCGAGCTGTCACTGCAGATAAGGGCTGAGTCACTAACACAAGAAAACAGGTTTCAAAAACCATTGACTACAACCTGCCTAAAGTTGTCATCCTGACTTTAAAATAATATTTATTATTACAGCCAGGACTAGAAAACCTGAGTTAAATCAGAACGTTTGCAGTAATTTTACTGTCACACGTACGTACCTGCTGACTTCCTCTGTACTTGAACGTGTCCCTGTGGGATATAAAAGAACACTTGGCTTTGGAAACTGTCTTGTCAATCTGTTGTGATGCAAGGG